TGCGGTACCATTAGCAAAAGGAAGTTCAACTAAATGTGTGCAAGAGTAAAGCTACGTTTATGTCCAGAAATAAAACAAGGAGCCATCTCAAGCATTTGCTCAATGGATCAGAGAAAGTGGACAAAAAACCTGATGAAATGGAGTCCATTGCCCAGAAGCTGAAAGTAATTATTTATTAGCAAAACAATTAAGTCTTAAACATTTTACACAAGAAATTTAAAAAAATAATTCAATACATATCAGCTGTTTTGTTCAAATAAACATTAATTTTTCTTTTTATTTTAATCGGTATAGTCTCTAATTTTTTTGAAACAGGTATGCAAGGCAGAAAATATTTTACATTTAACTTAATTTTGTGAACTGACTAATTGGCCGGATCAATGTCATCTGGAATGTGTTTTTGTAAAGTTAACATAATGTATTCGTATGTGAATATCTGATAGTGAACTGTTTGATACTGACAACTTGATAAACATGTTTTTTATGGACATGCTGATGAAATTAATAAAATATCAATTATTGCATGAAAATATGTTCCACTGTTACGTAAAGTCACTTTTGACAACTATTTACAGATTCGTAAATTTAGGCTAGGCATGGTAAGATTTCCAAGCTCCATGAGAGGGCTTAAGGAATCACTGCGGATTGGCATTTGTTCATTATTCGATAATTTTTCTTTTGCAATCTAAAAGGTCTGAATACTACATGATGAGTTTCCCCAGAATATTATGCCATCATACTCAGGCAAGGAATGTACATTTGCAAAATACATGCAACCAGCTGCATGAAGGCTGACAGAATTAAAGAAATCTGATATGCTGTGACATGACTGTTAGTGTTTAATTTAGTTATATGTAATGTTTCTCGTTTTAAGCGTTTTGTCTAAATTGAGAGCTAAAAATGGTTGCTACTGGAGCATGCAATTGGCTGATTTGAAATGCAAAAAAAATGCATTGAAAATTGTTTTTTTCCTTCTTTAATCTTAATTTGTTATCAAACAAATTGAAAACTTCTAAACTAGAGACTTGCTTGCCCTTTAAATTTCTTCCTTAATATTGTCTACGGTGTTGTGTGCATCTTCTTCTCTGTTTACTAGTTCTAATGTTCTTTCTTTCACTTAATGTTTTCAGTTTGCTTTTTCTGGTTTTAAATATTGATTTTCTTGGCTGATGTTAGGTTTTCCTCGTTGAGTTTGCTATATTTCTTTTACTCGAATCTATAGTTTAATTTAACATAGCTTTGTTGTGCGGTGATTCTGGTTTTGGAAGTGTTTTCCTAAGCCTTCTTTCTCTTATAGCTTTCTTCGTTATAGTTATGTGCTTTACCTTTTTTATGATCTGTTTCAATTTCAGTTTGGTGTTACTTTCAACTTGTTGGCTAAATTACTGTCTAATCATATTGTAGTCATTTTGATTTTTGGTTCTTCGCATTTTGGGCTAAAGGGCCCCAAAGTCCCATTTTCTTTTCTGAAGGTTTTCTTAAAGGGTGTCTTGCGTACGACAGATGCAATATATATACATTAAATAAATATTATTTTTCTTTTTGATGGTCAGTATACGTCTCTGATTGTAATTGGCAGTGGAAAATATTTTACTTTCAAGCTTGAATTTTTGTACTGATATAATTGTTTAATGTCATCTGGCTAATGTGTCCTAAAGGTTCATTATATGTGGATTTCTTGTAATGAGCTGTTGATATTGACATTAATGAATGTAATTTCTAATGTCTGTTGTAAATTATAAGTGTGTAATGACATCATGAATTGTCATGAAATGTCTTTCTACTTAAAAGTAAGGAGTTTTTGAACAAAACTACAGATATAAATGACAAGGCGATGGTAAAGATTCAATCTCTATTAAGAGAGGCTTGCAGAAAATCATGTGAATGGCATTTTTCTCTTTTTGAATATTTTTTCTGCATCTAAACCTGGTACTTACGTGGTTGACTTTCCAGAATTATTATGCCAATATCTCAGGTGGATGTACATTTGTAGAATATACAGCATACTGCACGAAGGCGACAATTTGAATAATTCTGAATGCATAAGAATACTTAATCTTAGTGTTTAATTTTAAGTTATGAGGGTGGTTGATTAGTTTGGTAAAAATGGAAGAAAACATTTTTTTTTTAAGAAACACTTTACTTTTTTCACCGTAGTTCTTCTTGATCTTACACTTTGGCCTAGTGTGGTTTTCCTAATTTTTTCATCCCATTGGAAAGATGGGAATTGTCAAACTTGCGAAATACAGTTTCCCAGCAGCAATACTTCCTCATTTGATGAAAATGTTTGCCCGCCAAGCCAAATTTTCAAATTGAGGAATAGAAAGAATTCGATAAATATGGGGTGGTTGAGAAACCTATTCGATTCCTAACTGATGCCTTTTGCCATTGTGAACTGCTGGCTGTGGAGGATGGAGTGGTTTTCTTTTGTTTGGAAAGCAACTTTTTCTTTGTGGCGACAACCTTTGCTAATTTTTTTGACCAATATCTGTTTAACCTAAGAAGTAATGAAGTGTGATAGTACGCGATTTATGGTTCTGCCTTTTGCAAATAATCCCATAAAGATTAATCCTTAATAATTCCTTCCAAAAAACCATTGGCCATCGCCTTTCCTGCCGAAAAACTGTCTTCGGGCTTCTTCGGTGCACTCTCGCCATGTGCTTATCCCTGTTTTGAATCTTTTTTGGTTTCGGGAATTGTATGATGATTTTCATGTTTCATGCCACTGTGGTGAATCTGCGCCCTGGAACAGTCCCCGCTGGATTCATCTCAACATTGGTCCCCCCAAGAAAAAAATTTTGCATTTGAATGTTTTTCGGTAGGTTTTGATCCAAGAGTGAGCAATGCGGCACCCATTCGTGCACATTGTTTTCCCATGTCCAATTTTTGTGGCAAGCTGAAGTGCACTCCCTTCAGTTGGATGCCAACAGCAATCAGAATTAACATATTTTCACTCTGTGATCTTTCATTACCAGCTATGCACTTTTCCATGGTTTTCGGTGTGGTGAACTCAACTGGCCGGGCCTGAAGCGCACTTCATATTTTGGTTCTGCGACCATTTGAACTGTCAATCAGAAGTAATTGTCTTCAATGAAGTACAGAGTTTACATGTACTTCATCTAACTCATTTTTGATCTGGATGCTGTCGCAGACCCTTTCAAATAAACATATTTAATCACAGTAAGAACGTATTTTTCTCAGCTACTCTTCATGCTGAAACACTCACACATTCAGCTGGTTGCCAACAATTTAATACGTTTTGCATGTGTTTGAACTTCAAATCAGATTGCTACAAAGAATCATGCTTTCTCAACAATGCACAGGTTTAATACATTGCACGCTCTTTTCATAGAAATTTACCAGAAACTTATCCAACGACCTTCGTAATACGGATATTCCATTTCCAATATTGACTTAATTTTCGAGCCCAGAAATTTTTGTTTACCTTATCATCAGCTATTTCATATTGTTCATTTCAATGAAGTTGTATTTGCCAGTTTGAAATGCATTGAAACATTTCTCTTTGCTAACTATTATAAAATTTATTATTATGAAGACAATTTAAAACTTCTGTAATCCTACTATTTATTGTTTCTATTTTTGCAACGGAAAGTGTTATCAACGACATATTTGTTTTTCCATTTTTCAATGGGCAAGGACATAATTGTTCATGTCAAAATGAAAACCAAAAATTATGAATAAGATCTAACCTTGAGGCACCTTGTGCTCATTGATGAAGAATTTAAAAAGATGAGTTAAATACTGTCTTGTTTTGGGGTGCTAATTAAAGATTTCTACTCTGTGTGTTAGATTTTAGGCATGAGGGTTATATCCAATTCAGACGGCCGTTATGATGGCAAAATTTTATGGTCGGTAAATCAGAAGCTTCTAAAAATATTCCAATATGTTGCCTTTGATTGGATAGGTATTGATTTTTCAATTCCAATAGAAATCCGTTCCCAATAGATATTAATTTTCTAAACCCATGTTTGAAAAATGGTTTATATTTCCTGATTAGTTTATTCCTATATACAAAAGTCTGCTGTATTTTTTTTACTTTCCCTTATAGTAATATATACATTGGTACAAAGGACGAGTTGGAGAGAGAAAGGGCAATGAGGGAGATGAAGGGCAGAACGTCTGCCGGGTTCCACTAGTAATACTAATAATATATTGCATTAGTTTACATTTGCATTGTTTAATTCTTAAAAAGATTTCATGTCTGTAACGAGCAATGTACTGCAACTTCCAGGTCAATGACTCCTACTTGATCAGGTTTTTATTCAGTTTCCCTGATCCATTGAGCGATTACTGAGATGGCTCCTGTATTACTTCTGGAAGTAAATGTATCTTCGCTATGCACATGTTTTGATGAGCTTACATTTTGCAAGTAGCTGTAGGAGTAGAGCTGGGAGTGTATTACTATTTTGTTCGCAATACAAAAATATTAAAATCTGCAATTTGTTAAAGTTTGCAATGCTAATTAGTTTTCTATATCTCAGAACAAAAATGTCTTGTTTTTCAAATGTTGCTAACCTCACTTTTTTTAAAGGTATTCATCATTCAACTGTTTAAGATCAATGGAAAAAGATTCTGCTCAAAAAAAAAAAGTACAGATAGTACTTCTCACTGTAAATCACATACACAGTTTTTAATCAGGACTGATAATAATAAAACAAGTGGTGCAACAGAATGGCACAGACTTTCTCATGATGCCTACTCTCTTTAGCCTGAGCTAGCTTTAATTAATTAAAGTGATACGTTTATCCCACAACACCTTTAAATCAGGGAAGTGATTGCTCACAAATTTTGCATAAGTACTTTTGAGAACGTGGGAAAAAAGATATGGTAGTATTCAGCGCAAAATTTGGTTATTCCCAATACGCGTTGCAGCAAACTCACAATACATGTTATTGACTCAAGGTGGCAGTGCTATTGCCAAGAATTGCTCTGCCTTTTCTCTAGTAACAATATATGTAGTTAATTATTATTCATTTGGTTTAAATCATAAAATGTGAACTGTAATAAAAAATATTATTACAACAAAGAGAAAAAAATTTACAGTGGCATTTTATTATTCACAAAACTTCTCGTACATATCTATATAAACATAAATAAAAATCATAAATGCCAAATAAAATCTCAGTATTTATACACGGTACATATTAGTTTACAAAATACAGCCTAACAACATCAAAACAATGCTATGTCATACACAGCTAATAAATAATGTAATGGACTAAGAATGTACCAGATAATTTGGTGATTACTCATACCTGAACCAAGCAACAAATCCAGTGAAGAACATGAATTTATTTTGATGACTTAAGTATCAACACATACTGAAAATACTCATTTGCTTTAGAATTTCCAAAACAAGAAAATATAGGTATTGTAACAAATCATGCCACATTAAAGCAACACTTTGTGCAAGTTTAAGACACTCATTCCCTGAACACCATTCATAATTCCTCGACAATGACGAACATTTCTTTCTTTCCAAACAGTTCACCAAATTGACATTCAGTTTTTATTTTAAGAAGAGATTTAGCTGGTAAGTATTCAGAAAATTATGGAACATTTACATTACTACCACTGGTCATATTGAACTTGAATATTTTTTAATCACATAAAGCAACATAGGGAATCTATTTCAACATACACAGAGGAAAGCAAGTCTTCTAAGTACTTATAATTATCATGTCAATAAAATTAATGTGACTGAAACAACGCGTATAAGTTGTCATCCATGACTCACCACTGGAATCTGCAAATTTCTTAGACCATACAATGCTGCCATAGTCAATTCAATTTGAAACATAAAATAAGCAAAATGAATTGATAATAGAAGACACAATTTACTTTCAGTTTTTCTTTCCAATTTACTTCTTAAACATGGCAACATAAAACTTTTATTTCAATGACTTTACAAAGTTGTACTGAACTCTGCCAATCAACCAATACAATTTTAATGCATTGAATAAATACAATGATTACTGCTTGCATCTAAAAATGGATTAGAACCAGAACAAAATATTATTGCATTTTCAAAAGTATGACGTTCAACGATTTTAGTTATCCACTTCACAACTGATAAATATTTTCGGCATGCTACACTTTTAAGAAAGTTAACAAAGCTAGTAGCACAGGAATGAATATTACCTTAAAAAGTAAAAAACAATAATGCTGGTCATATGAAGGTTTGACGCAACAGTTCAATGAACTCAAGCAACTATTGTCACAGTACATCATAGCAGTTACTTTTCAATTCACTTGAACAACAGATTCTGAGGTAGTCACTGAACTTTATTCAAACCAACGTTGAAGATGTCCATTCAAACCATACAACAATATTTAAGAAACACCAATAAGTAAACAGAACAATGATTTTTGATTTCTGTCAACTATTTAACATTCTAGAAACATCAATTTACCAGCATTTGATATGGAACACATGAAAACCAGTTTATGGAGAACTACCTGTAGCAGTAGTATCTAGGCGAGGTCTTTTCCTTGAACCAGACTCTTCGGAATTTTCTAAATTAACATGATCCCTTTTCTTCTGGGAATTCTGAAGACAGAAAAAGTACTTTAGCATCTCACTCATTGAAAATTAAAAGCATTAAAATCCTATTGAGTTACCTTTTTATCCCATTGCTGATGGAGAAATCTCAGTAATATGTTGGTCTTTTCTGTGACAATAACTAAAGAGTGAAAATATTAAAATCAGTTTCACAAATTTTATCATTAGGTAGATTACATTCTTCTTAAAAAAATTTTAAAAATGTTACAATAACAATAATAAGATTGTAAAAATAGCATCAAAGTTCTCAAACTTATATTATGGAAGTTATAAAACAAATTTGTTGTCAACTGTATTATAATAAGGCAATTCAATTCAATTTAGCCAGTATCATCATCATCAGTCCCTAATTGGAAGCAACACTTATTATTTACATTTCAAGATTATTATTTTTCCATTTCATTTTTACCATTGTAAATCGAGTGTGTGAATAATCCCAATAGATTTTGAATTGTCAATAATTATTATTGACAATACAATTGCTTTATTGGAAACTTCAGGTTCAAGAAGGTAATTTAAACAAGAACTGCACTACTTTCCCCATAACAATAAGCCAAATGTTTGAATTTATTGTTTTCACCTTGCAATACAATAGGGCTCAAGACATTTATTTTAGATAACGCGAAGACATAAAGGGAAATCATTGTCATGTATTTGTTAAGTGAGCTACAAAAAAATTATAAAGCCTCCAACCAATTCAAGGTATTGCAGTATTCAGTCACAAGGTTTGAATAAAATAGTTACATTTCCACACTACAGTAGTAGGAAATGAATTTTAGGGTTAGACTATAATTACTTTTATTTGTTAGCTCTTAATTACTTTTATAATTCTCACACCAGTTGAATGAATCTCACTTTTGTTGAGTTTTTCATCTAAATCAATAATTATCTCAATACTTATCAATTTAAGTTTTTTTACATACACACAGACCATGTCATACTTACTTTGTTCTGATGGATAATCTTTTGTTGGCAAATATACAGAAGGACGTTTAACACAAGTACGACTTCCACTGTCGGTGTGAAATCGTGCAAAATTGTTTTCATCATAGGAAGGAAGGCCTTTTAAAAATTCTGCAACAGACTACATAAAATATAAAAGTTAGAATATGGAATTTATGGCCCAAGGTACCATAGTTTCTTTTCTAAATTTCAACAATCTAAAATAATTAAGTACAGTTACTGGTTTGGGGTAGTTTACATCAACCACACATTAAGAGACGTATAGACAATCACATTGTGATCACAAATTGTGAAAGGGAGGACACAACTAAGTCGCGTTAACTAAAATATTCAACCAGAATCTATGATTATAATTTCTTATGAACTTTTTTTACTGAATAAAAGCAATAATCGATAAACTTAAGTAACTACAAAAAAAGGTGACAAATATCTTATAAAATTAATAACAATATGGTATCTGCATTGGGAGAAGTTACAATTTCAATTGCACACGTTCGAAGTGATCTTCCAAGACAGCTGATTAATTTTTCCCAGCTATAAGAAGGGCACGTTACTGTACCGACATACCGACAGTTCACAAGAAAAAGTTGTAGGTAAAACTTGCAAAAAACAATAAACTTATGACTTACCATGGTAAAGCTTTACAAGTATACGTCACTCACACATATACACGACACACGACACAACACTCCAGGCCCCGCGGAACACCCACCACACGCAACTCGTGTCCAAGCAAGAGGAACTCTGCAGCACTGCCAAAGCTCGATTCGTCTATAACCCGTTCAAACAATATTCACCTCTTTCAGCGAACAGCCAATCAGGAAAAGCGAAGAAATATTCAGCCAATTACAATGCATTATGTTACTGTCAAATTTGCGATGTAAATATTAATACATGTGTTCTGATACTATAATTCCAAAGAGTATATTGAGTGCTATAATTATATTTCATGTGCTTATACAGCGAAAGAAATTACATACAGTAAAGCATATTTTGTTTTACTTTTTGAAATGAAATATTATTACAACGTTTTAGTACTTGGTTTCTCAAAAGCCAAAAGCGAATTTCATATGGACAGAACATGAATTGGAAATTCACTGTTATTTATACGACAAAAAAGAAGAGATATGGCCCACGCTGGCCCACGCGTCCCCACTGTCAGTAAACCAGTGCCATATAGAATACACCAATACTCGTTTCTCCCTCCGGAGGGTGCTGCTTGGCTGGCAGAACATGACTTCACCAAATCTGCTGCAAAGATCGGAGGGCGCTTTCAAGCTCACTCTAGTATATATTCTGCTCGTTGGTTTCACCAAAGCGCATGCCTTTGGACTGAAAAAAAAAGGGAACAACATTGCTTCAATTTGCTCAAGATGAAGGCACTTAAGTTACATCGTAAGTAATCAATTTCTCTTGGGCAAATATCATGATGGCAGACGTTAAGTAATTTCCGTGGTTATTAGTAAATTACAAAAAGAATCCAAGGATCATAGTCAAGGAATGACTAATAAAATGTTGGCGGTGTCATAAGGTTAGAAACGAGAATGAGTGCGAGGGAGGGTAAAACCTGTGTAAAAGAACTTAAGAGGAAAACGCAATTATGTACCTATGCGCATCGGAGAGACAGAAGAATAAGCGCTAATATAAACAGACGGCACAGAAACGGACCGCAAACTCGGTGATGATCGGATGGTTGACGGAGGTCTCGAGATGGCAAACATAGCACTGTGTTATTTGTGATTTAGAAATCATTGTTAATGTAACAAGTATTAAATATAGTGTGTGAAAGGAAACAAAGATGCGACGATAGAATTGGTACAGTGCGAAAAGTGGAAATTTAATCGGACATGAAAGCGACCGGCAAAGAATGCAGAACTCAATAGGAAATGTATTAGTATGGGGTATATTAATAATGGAGTATATAAATCTGAGTAATGTAGAAAAGACCAAGTTTTGGAATATATCTGTAATAAATTTTTAATTAAAATAAAGTAGGTAATGTATGGCATCAAGGAGAAGTAACGGAAAATATTCGAATAACGACAGTGTTATATTGTTTTTGTTCTGAAGTAGTTTATAAAATATAGTGTGTTTTGTCGTGAATCTGCAGAACTAGAAATTACCCAGTGTCACTTGATCTGATACAGTAATATTATTTATTGTAATGCGTCCCCAAATATACCCCGAATATCCAATATAAAGAAAGTAAATACTTTGATTCGTAAGTTTTCATAATCGGAATCTTGTTTAAGACGATCTGACCAAAGCACAAATATTTATGACAAAGGATCGGACCTCCGTATTGAAATAGGCAATTGTCCAAAGTAAGAAGAAGTACAATAAAATATCGAAAATAAAGTTAGTGATCTATGATTAAAATATTTGCCGAGAGTAGTACGAGAGAAAATTCGCCAGATATCGCTATTTTCATTCTGGAAACACTAATGTTTTCATTTTTCTCATATAACAGCCGCGAACCACGGGTAGGGAAATGAGGAAATCCCCCCCCCCCGAATTTTTCCATATTAATTTAACGGTTTCATGAACTTCTTGAGGACACAGTGAGTTTCGGAATGATCATAAAACAAATAAAATCGTTTAGTCTGCCTCCCTCACCAAATGTTCCATATATATATAATTATATATAATATATATATAATAATTATATACCAACACACACACACACACACACACAGGCCCAATCGGTTCTCCTAATCATTTAAGGCAGCAGTTCAAAAGCCGCGCAAAACAGCGGCGCGCGAACCGCCGGCAATCAACGAAAAGAAGAAACGGGTCTTCCGCCACGCTCCAAGGCCGGGAGAGAAGCGAGGTAAGTCCGCGTTGATGTGAGCCGAAGTAGTATATTTTTTAATAGCGTGTAGAAGATCGGCCAAGGTGGATGGCACAAGAGAATGCATAAAACCGCGGAAGAGTGCGAAGTTGTATCGAAACGGTAATAAAAGGTATGGTATTGACACTGTAATGAAATTGTGTCATGAATCGAAAGATGATGCTACAGTTACAAAACTGACGAAATAATGGACTAATTAGAAACTAATGTGGAGTGAGCCAGTAAGGTAAATGACAGTGAAAGGAGACAGCGCCGTGATGGATAACTAACACGTGGTAATTGAACAGGGTAGGTGAATGAAAAAGAGACAGTGGTGATGGAATAGGCGGATGACAGAATAATTATTTGGGTTTGGTTTCTAACCTGTGGAAAGGGTTAATTACGTCGCGAGGGTTGGAAATTAAAATTGAACGTCGCCACCAACATTGCGAGACTCATCGGCGTCGGACATTCAGGTGGAACTTCAGCTTCGGGCGGGCGCCCGAACAGGCCGCAGCGCCACCAGGCGACGCCGAGGTTCCCGGGACGTATGTTGAAGAAGGGAACAACCTGAACCGGTTTCATACAAACAAGTATTTATGTGGCAATCTAATTGGAAAGAAATAAGGGAATTAAGATCGACATATATTTGAGATTGGGACTGTCAGTAAACTGCAAAATAGTAGCATGCGATCGCAAGGGTAAAGAAAGGAACTAAGGGGTAGTCATAATAGTGGTGACACCCATAAGGTATTCGTGTAATTTATTAAATAAATATTTTATTCTATTCAAAGAGGTTTTTTTAATGCATTACAAATCGCATAACGGCACAAGTTTCCTCCCCGCTGACGGAATTCCCTGCCCATCCTGAAAAAATTTCATCTATCTGATGAAAATATATGTGTGATAATCGATTCACATAACGTGCTACGCCCCCTGTCGGAGGGTCTAAGAATGAGGTAAGGTCACTATAATATATATATATATAATAAATATATATATATATATAATATATATATATATATATTTGTGTGTGTGATGTGTTAAAAGTTCTATGAGTTAGTAACATGTAGTATAAAACATTTATATTAGTCAGTTCATCACACCATTGCATCATAGGAAACAATACTGAACCACCTATAATATGCATTACGTGTAAACAACAATAAATGAAACTATGAAATATTGCTAACAAAAAATATTCGCTCATTATTGATCTGAAATGCCAAATAGTATGAATCTTGAAATATGAATATAGAAATCAAGGCTCCAGAATTGGTTATTTGCGTATATCATAAATATAGATAAATAAATTTTGCCTATCTTTAAAGAAACAAAATAAATCCCATTCAATCATTGGAGCAATTGATAAGCAAAAAAAAATCGCATAGATTAGAATTAAATATGTAAAATATCATTGTTTGCCCTGAATTCTCTGCTTTCAGAATTGAGAATTTTATCACTGCCCTCTCCTACATTTAGTTTTTGTTTTGTAGTAATTCGAAAGGCAACTTATTGGAGATAAAGACACGTATTGCATATTGGATGATACAAATCAGATTGGTCATGTATAAACTTTAACTATCTTGTCTATAGCTATCTATACTAAACAAAGACAGATTGCACTGGCTACCAGTTCGATACTGTCCGAATCTACTGAACCAATACCGCTGAAACGTTTGCTAGCTTCCTTTAAAGGGTCTGGTGACACTATAGGTTATGATTCATAACACAAAACCTAATATATTACAAAATAATGCTTTTCTGGACATTTTTTCGCCTAGCTTTACATCCATCAAATTCAAGAGTGCATCAATGCCCATAGTAGCTACGTGCCACCAGGAAAGGAGTCACGCAAGATCAACTGCTAATTCACCAATGTCCAAATTATTACGAAATCATATGAGTTATGTAAATGTCCGTATGTACGTGTGTAGTGAGGAGGTGGGGATCATTTGTAAGAAAATCCTTAACCCAAAGTAGGTAAATAATGTTCAGTTATATGCGATTGTCCCTAATTTATTAGTCAGTGATATTATAAAGAGTGGCAAGAAACATTGTAAGTTTGGAAAAGTGTTTAAAATGGTGGTAATGGGTTGAGAGTAAAAAGTAAAATAATATATCAGTAATGTACAATATATACATATCATGTATATTGGATTTCGTATAATTTCTCCACATATTCTTTACAGATAATTTGTAAACACTGAATTGTTTTAAAACAAATCGAAAACGAAAAGCTGCCTAGATCTTTGCATAAGCCACATTGTATTTTATTTATTCATTTATTTAACGTCAAAACAGTAAAAACTGTGTATGAACGTGTTATTGGGAGAAGTTAATTTGAAACAGTTACATTTATTCAATTCAGGACTGAATGTGGTTTAGCAATGGTGATAGTGGATTGATGGCCTCATGAAAATCGATTTCCTGTCTCCATAATCAAAATGTAGGCTTCAAAAATGCATACAGAAAAAATCTTAACAATTAAGATGGATTCCAATAAATAATATAAAAATTACGCGACATAACGAAAACTTGATTACACCTATATTGCAGAAGAACAAAGAAGTTATAAAGACTTCAAAAATTGCCAAGTATGAGAAAAACAGAAGACCTAATATAGAATATACATTAAACTTTATTGTACCTTATCAAGATTATAAAAAATACTCTATGATAATAAATACACTGAAAATTAAAACTGTTGCTTGACCATTTTTATATGCAATAACATGTCGGCAGTAAGCTATTTTATTATAAACTTATATTTTATTTTACAATGGCGCATCGCAAACGGCTTAGTTTCTGTACCAACCCATTTTCAAACAATGTATTTGTTAGTTCTAAATATACCGTAGCTATGTAATAATGCATGGCTCATGAAAGCATTCTAAGAATTCACGGCGTAGCTGCGCTCATCGAATTTCTAGGTAGCTGC